CAATCTACCTGACCATTAAGCACTTCCGACACATGTTAGAAGGCAGGGAATTTATAGTCTTTACAGATCACAAACCACTAACGAATGCATTAAAAGCGAAAGCCGAGAAATACTCACCGCGAGAAGTTCGACACCTTGACTATATATCACAGTTCACAAGTGATATCCGACATGTCAAAGGTCGGGATAATCAGGCTGCAGACGCTTTATCTAGATTAGAAATGAACGTGCTACAGCAGTCTACAGTAGACTTCGAGACGCTGAAGCACGAACAAGAAAAGGATCCAGAATTACAAAATCTGCTTAAAACAAATAATTCAAGTCTTAAATTAGAACAGTTATCTTCGCATATCGACGGTATTCTAATTTACTGTAACACGACCAAGGCGTTGCCTCGACCTTTCGTTCCTAAAAGTATGCGAAAGTTGATATATAATAACTTCCATGCTTTGTCTCATCCTGGCGCAAAAGCTTCAACTAAACTAATTAACGCCAGATATATATGGCCGAATTTACAGAAGGATGTACACAAATGGGTCAGAGAGTGTTCGGCATGCCAACAATCAAAGGTTATTCGTCACACAAATTCACCCATAGGTGTTTTCTTGCAACCAGATGCACGTTTTGCCCATGTGCATATCGACTTGGTAGGACCTTTACCACGTTCGAACGGTTTTAATTATCTTTTTACATGCATAGATCGATTTACCAGATTCCCTATAGCCATCCCGATAGCGGACATCACAGCGGAAACAGTAGCCAAGGTTTTCATGCAGAACTGGGTAACCATTTTTGGTACACCCATAACAATAACGACTGATAGAGGAGCGCAATTCGAATCCGAACTATTCAATAACTTGGCCAAACTTCTAGGCTCCAATAGGATACGCTGTACGGCATATCATCCTCAGGCTAATGGGATGGTAGAACGTTTTCACCGTCAGCTAAAGACCGCTCTTATATCTCACTCGAACCCCAATCAGTGGACAGAATTCCTACCGTTAGTCATGTTGGGAATACGAACATCTGTCAAAACTGACGCAGTGTTCAGCAGCGGAAATGGTTTTCGGAACAACTATGAGACTACCAGGTGAATTTATTAACCCTAATACTAACAGTCAAAAACTTAATTTAGAAAATTACGTAGATCAACTACGGGACCACATGTCCAAACTTAAGCCAATTAATACTCGTGAACAATCGCGAGCTATATATATACCTAAAGGTCTAAGCAATTGCACGCACGTCTGGACAAGGTGTGACAAAATAAAAGCACCGCTTAGCCCTCCGTTTAAAGGTCCTTTCAAAGTCGTCTCAAGAAAAGATAAATATTTCATGATAGAAAGACATGGAAACACGGACTCCGTAAGTATTGATAGGTTAAAACCAGCTTATCTCGATCATGAACCGCCGTACGTGTTGTTAGACCGCTTACCTGACAAAACAATTGCGGAATCGACATGTAAAAACGGTAAATCTGTACAAGTGACTAAAACGGTTAGATGGGCACATACATTAGTCAGTCAAGAATATTGACAGTTTTGGCTGCAGAATAAAATCTAATCACGTACCTAGTAGGATCCTGCGTTTATTTCAAAATATTTTTTTTTCTCATAACGTACCACCTATTTTATTTAACTAAAAAAATACTTTTCGATGTCACACTATCCACAACTCCCCAGATCTTTTACTTTTGATATATGAGTGTGTTAAAATTTTTATTAAAAAAAATACTGGATACATAAGCTAGGTATTCCTAAACAATTGCTGAGTGACAGTAGTCGAATTCATAAAAAGGGGTAAGTCACACCAGAGAACGACAAATCTCCAAATAAGGTGAGTGATGTGAACAAGCTGCGTCTGTTGAACTAAACAATTTCTTAGATTTTACCAATAATAGTAAACAATTAAAAAGCTGGAGGAAAACGTTGAACGAATTCCCTGTGAGCATGTATTATGAAACCACACAACTAGCCCTGGCAGTAACGGCGAATTCAAAAAGCAACCCAGGCGAGTCTTTTTTTTCGGTTAGTCGACTGTGTTTGTAGTACTTCTTATACACACATTCACTTAGACTCGATATAGACCATATGAACTAATCCTAAAACGTTTTCGGTTGGAGATGTTTAGTAGCTTGATACGATCGATAGTACTATTAATAAGTTTTTTTTTAAACAAAACATTTAGATCAAACCATGGTCAAGTACTTATTAAGGTTCTCATTATTTTTCATGTTGACGTAATTTATGCAATAAGTTGACCAGTTTTCCTGTAGCATGCTTTTAAATATAATCATATAACCCAGTTTATTGGCGCCATACAATTATTTTTTTTCTGGTACTTCCGAAGCAATAACCGTGAGGATATAGTACAGTACGTTACCTATTAGGTTACTGTATTAGCGGCATTGATTCTACATACCTAATTTCAAACTCAACTTATAAAGGAACTGTTAAGTAATCATAACATTGGGCTAAATATATGACCATCACCGCGATGCTCATGTTCAACCAATTATTATTAGTGGTCCATACAAAATTCTGGAACTTAACACTAGCGTTATAAAAAAAATGAAACATGTAATGCCAATAACTAATATATTTGTTGCGTAATTATAACGTAATACGGAAATATAACACACTTGTAGCATTTCTATAGTATTATTATTAGTATGAACAAAGAACTTGCACTTTGACATATCAATCTGTTCTCTTGTCAGTTTTCTTCATATCTGAGCGACTAACGGTCAGCAAACATCGTATGTAAGGACGGTTTTGTGAACAAAAACACCGGCACCATATGCAGTCGTACTTCTGCCCTCCTGAATGCTAGACCACGAGCTTAGCCAATACACCACATCAGACCGTGGTGAAAAATGACTTCAATATCTCTTTACACTGATTAATTAATCATAATACTTATGAATAATAAGACTTACACACTTCTAAGGTGCAGACCAATTCGTTGCTTAGATGAATTGACGAAATACAGCTTCAATATATCATGCATGCCTACACCAAATCCGCAAATGGTACTTGACACAAATGTATTTGGTTCTCGTACTCTTCATAAATGTTTTCCCTTTTTCACCGTATATTTTCCTTTTTTTAGGAATACTCTTAGCATCCTTGGTTACGTACCTGGTTATAATAGGCGGTCACCATAGACTTAAGGTCATACATTGGGTTAGGTTTAATAAGGAATCCGACTTCTGGCAAGTTCGCACATTTATATATGTGCATTGAAAAAGAGTATTTTTCTTGTTTTGTGTTTATACTTTTTCGTACACAAGATGTCTACACTATTTCTATTTCCTTCCAGACGAGCAATCTTTTCTCGAGGCAAAACAAGTGAAACCGAATAATTATCAACTATATTTATGTATTTACATTTTGTACCTTATTATTTTATGCAGACAGTGGAGCAGTTCTTCAGGTTTTGTTGATTTTCATCATTACCTTTGAAGTAGACTCTTCTTTACTTTTTACTTGAGGGCGACTCGAGAGGCAGGTGAGTAAACACCTGATAGCCGGACAGAGCATGGAAAAATCGTACCTCACCAACATGGTGTTGGGTAGCCCGCTCGCGGCACTTCCTCAGACATTCTTGTTTCATTTTCTCAAACTCTTTCTCTTGCGAGCACGTAGCAAACCGTCAGCTATAGTGTAGTAAAAATTGCATGCTACAATATTAGATGGCAAATAAAGACATCCACGGACCGATGGAATTGTCATTGATTTGAAGTCATAGTGAGCGAAATGATAATCCTCCCTTGGACTGCGGAAACAGAACTTAAATGCTTTTGATAAATAGGTTATCGAAACGACGTTCCTACGGAAGTCGATTCTAAGGGGAAGCTAATGTAACAGCTTAGGTTGGTTGTCAAGAGTTAATCTCAAGCAACTAAGCATATATCGAAACAGCATAGTTCAGATATTTATTCACTTTATTTGTTTAGGCGTTATATATTTCTATCTATCTTATATTGCTTGTTGAGAGGTTTTGTTTGTCTGAGTAAGGAATCCCACGCTCCACTGTGACTGCGCGAAGATCAAAATAAAGACCTATTTTCCTACGAGTCTGGTTTCTTCTATTAATAACGCGAGGGTTACAATAAGGCACGAAAAAACCATTTGCGTATTTCACGTCTCCTTTATATCTGTTCCCTTATTTTCTCCCTTTCCTTCTTTAAAGTCAACTCGATATTCTTCTCAATTACACAGAACCTGATTTATTATTATTCTATGTCACTATTATCTTCTTTTTCTCTATTCGTATAGCGAATATAATGCTAGCATTATTTAAACTCGTGTATTATTGCACTCTTGAAGAAACCCGAAATGAAAAGCATACATTAAATATTTCATTTGCACATCTTCCGTCAGTTTTCTCTTACAAACTTCACCGTTCCTTTATTCCAGTTCTTATCACAATTACTCTCTTTATATTCTTGTTCTCTTCAATTCGATCTTCCCAATCTTACGCTGACAGGCATTCTGTTATATCCTAGTGAGGATATATATATATATATATATTCCTATTGTATAACTGTTCAGTAACTAGATTATGTATATCTATATTCCTCTTATTACAAGCTTCATTTAGGCCTATAGATTATGATTAAACGATTTACTGTTCTAAAGTTATGTTCAGTTAATCGATTACAGCCTCCCACGTTCACAGCCACTTTTTAGCTTCAACTTGTATAAACGTTATTTCCTATTTTATAGTGTGATGCGGTCTGTTTGGCTGGTATATAAACCAAGTATGTTCGAAATAAATGATTCACATAGTGGAAGCTGTTATTGGCTTTCTGCAATCAACTGGACGGGCTAGAAGAACAAAGGACCAATAAGGACGCTAGGCTGCTCATACCGGTCGAACGTCATTGGTTTAGCAGTGATAAGATTAAATAAGTCGTATTTCGATTGGCGAATAAATCCACCGGCTTCTGATACGTGTTACATACTACTTATATCTGTTGACGTAAGCAGCATACACCACAAGTACTCTGATTTCTTTCCTTTGTAAAGATAAATGCAAATAAATGATAACTGGAGTATAAACTTAATCTGAATACATATACGTGTAAATAGGCTCAAATCCAATACACCGCAGTTATCGACAGGGAAAATTACAACAAAATGTATAAATCAAACGATCATTGTCATCACTAAATTCTTATTGCCTACTAAATTCTCTAATTATGGGACATTCATATTCGTGATCAGGATGTTTCAGGTTGAGCAGACTGCAGAATTTAACAAAAGATATAGTCCGTAAAATGAAATAACAAAAACCAAATAACAGGAGGATTGAACGTCTAAAATTTACCTATGATGAATGGTTCCGTTTGAACATATTTACAATTTTCAACCGGGAGATGTGGTGAGATGTTATCGTATCCACCAATAGGGTCAATAGCTACATCAACCTTTTGGATAAAATCAGTTGCGGGAATATCATTCAACAAATCTGTTTGAACGAAACTGTCCATAAAGTGTGACTTGTGTATTGCTTTCTTCTTAAAGGCACTGTCCTCACAAACAAAATTCTGATGATTTATTATATTCCCTTGATGATCGATTAAATCAGGAAACGGGTTCATTTTAGATTGTTTACGTTGTAAAACATCGTTGAGACGTTGAAGTTTTTGACAATTTGTACAGCTTGAGGAATCAGATGAGTTTGTATTCACCAAACTATTAAGTTTGCTTGAAGAAATGCTTTGTGGTATAAGGCGATTTAACTGCATCCGTAAAGCTCTTGCATTTGAATTTGCTTCAGCTAACTGACCCCGAAGTCTTGATGCCTCACGATCATCATCTTCTCTTTGACGTGCCATATCTAATCGCAATTGAGTAAGCTCATTTTGAGCAATAGATAATCTCAGTTTTAAATCGTCGATACTTAAAGTATCTACATCTTGCAGTTCATTATTTGTGTGTACATTTCTTAGTAAATTCTCAATCACAACTATGAAGTAAATGTAAAAATAATAATACTCACATTATTGAAAGTTTTACTTATTTACACTTATCTCTTATATCGGTATCATATACGAAGTAGAGAGATTGTAAATCGAATAATGAAATGAATGAAAACGGAGTCACACTTGACCAGGTTTGAATCCCACTACATCTATTTCCGTTTGGGCGAACGAGTATTATCATTAGTTCTTACACTTTGAGTATGGCTCATACCCAAGAACCTGGTGAATCAGTGGTCTAGTGGTTAAGTGCTCACGCGCGAAACCAGTAGGTCCTGGGTTCGAATCTCGCAGGGGGCGAGGTCGTGGGTGCGCACTGCTGAGGAGTCCCATAATGGAACGAAACGGCTGAACAGTGCTCCCAGGTTTTCCATGGTGGTCTAACTTCAACTGACTCATGATCTCAATCATTGAAATTACTACAATCTCCACAAAACTCCTTCTGATTATATCATAATCACCAACAAACAGAATGATATAATGATATCAGAGCAATAAAACGGAAAACACTATTTATCAAACATACGGTAGTATGGAGTGATTAAAATGATTAAATTCTTTGTCTACCAGGAGGTAGCTTATTCATCATTTGATATTGAAAGGATTTTAGCATATTTAATAATTTGTGACTGATAAGATACCTACAGGATCGATTAAACTTAGTTCATCAGTATTTCAGACTGTCCTATGGAAATATAAAGCAAATAGTCGAGTACTTAATCAACTATGGTGTCAACGCTCTAGTTGCATAATATGAAAACCTAGGAGAGATGAAGCATAGTTTTGAAATTACATCTAAGGGAGAAATACATCATTCATAAAGATGATAATAATTGCTTTATTTCGTACCATACGTCTGAACTTCCAAGCGAATTCTCAGCTTAATCAGCCAATATATTTGTCCAAATAATTAAGATCAAAAGAGGTGATCGCATTAGCAAATACAAACTGTTGATAGATCATTTATTGAGTACTACAACGCATTGTTTGAAATACAAAATATTATCATCTCGTCGAATTTACATAATAATTGGTTTTTCAGAAATTACATATGGTTGTATTTAAATACATCTGCAACTGTATATCGAAACACAATTTCGTGAGTGTCTATAGTGCATGACTTAAAACCCAATACATGGAGTAACATATAGTTATTCAGTTTCTTTTATTCCTTGCTTTAACCCTTAAGTGTGTCACATCAACGCACTGGGACAGTTCCAGTAAGCAATAATTTCAAAATGCTCAAATAAAAAGAGTTAATAAAACGCGTGACGGAGGAATCATTAGTGTAAAAGAATAAACTTGACAAAATTATTACAAAAACACACAGAAGAATACAAGCTCTCTTATGAGTAAGACGACACAACTTAGATTACTTATCTGTCGGTAAGGAAACACTATAATAAACGTTTCATATCATTAAACTAACGATAAGAGATTAACACAATAAACTAACAATTGAAAAGCAAGAGACAGATAGGCGTGAGATCAAATCAGTCACTAGACACAAACAAATTACAACACATTTAAATCTTATAAAGCACAAACCTCGCATATTGTGGTCCAAAGAACTAGTGTTCAGATTTGTTTTACTGAAGAATAATTTCAACTGTTCTAATAAAGCAGTTGCTTTAGCTAATTGATTACGTAAATGAGTAATCTCCATAGTAGTTCTACGTTTTTGTGCTTCATAATTTCTTTGATGATGACGAATAGTATCTACACTGGAATCCAGTTCAGTACCCATATGATCTAATCGTTCTTGTAATTTATCAATACGTGTTTTTTGATTTATACGGTGTTTTCTTAAACGATCCAGTTGACCAACTGCATTCAATAAAGCCTCTTGTAATTCACACTTCGTTGGTTCATCGGATTCAGAAAAACTAGAATGTCTCAGTGTGCGATTGAGAACATTCCTTGGATTAACCAGTCCATATTTTAATAACTAAAAATGAAATAGTGAGAAATGATTTATAAACTCAATGAATCAAAATATTTTATGAATAAAATGACAAATGTATACATAACGATTAAACATAAATTTGTCACCAATACGATGCATCCCATACTCAGGTGACATGAAGAATTTCGTAAGGGTGAACAGCGAATGACTCTGAATACATAACAACTTCTGGCAGTAGAGTTCTCTTGCATTAAACACTAGTTTTAGGAGCCAAAATTAAAGACATTAAACTAATGACTATCACTTCTCATCAGGAATAACCACATTGCTTCATAATTCATTCCACGTGTTTCTGATCTCTGATGCATCTCTAATCCCAACCACTCGTCGTATTATTTTAAATCGAGGATTATTGTACTACCTCATCTTCACGTTCTGAGGACATCCGATTCAGATACAGATACACACGCTTCTTAGTCTGCAACGCGAGTCACATAATTAGGGGAGGCTAGGAAGTTGTAAATGCAAAACCGAATAGTGTACGCGAACCATGGATAGACATACATTTTCAAATTATCTGAGACATTTTGTTCACGGGATAACACGAGAGACTGAATAACTTTTCAGTGACTATGTGTTGATGTTACATTAGAACATATGTCTAAAACACTAGGATGTGGATTAAGTTGGGATAAAGTTGACAAAGTAACAGAAACTGGATCGCCACACTGGTTCAAATTATTTAATAATTGTACTAGTTGAAAATGATCTGTTGAAAGACAATTACATAACAGAGAAACAATTCGATTGCAAGCAGCTAATTGTAATTCTACATTTCCGACTGAAGTCAAGTCACCATTATTCATAGCCTCCAATTCAGACTCAAATGGCTGGCATAAACAAACAGTCAAATAGTAATGATAACAAAATAAAGTTTTCTCAAAAATAAAAGCTACAATCGTCAAATATTATTACGATTGAATCATATTATAAATTTAAAAAATAATCCACGCTGCACAATAGAACAGTATGATAAATGGATCGCACAAATCAAAACAAAAATCACCTGGTGCAACAGACAAAAAATAATAGAGATAAAAAATGAAACGGTTGCTTCTTCGCTGAAATTCAGGGCTTCAATATGCGTAAGTATTGGTGAGAATAAAAATTCTCTATCTAGTTATTCATTTTACATGTTAACTGTATACCCAAACATTTACCGATTGCTCTCAACTTTTACATTAGACATGAAGATTAAATAAATCTAGTACAATAAATATTTGCTTAGCTCAACATTGTGACCGTTACCGCAATATCATCACATCAAGATCCTCAACCTACGGAATATCACAATATCGATTATATCATCTTGATTAAATTAAACACTATGGAAATGTTATAATTCTCTCTTATCACGACCCAGCTATTCCTATTGCTTAGTAATCTTGGACACCAATTCACCTATTCCTGTAGCCTTCTCACTTAACTTGCCGGATGTCACCCTTAAAAAGAGATCGTTCAAAAGACTTACAAATTAGGTATGGATGGCACAAATTTCAATAAACAAGGTATTGGGTTTTCACATATTCAGCTAAAGTTTCAAGTGTTCCAATTAAATTAGTGAAATCAAAAAGAACCAGCGCATAAACAAAGAGGTTCTTACCGGCACAGTAAATCAACACCGAATGTGGTTAGTACTAGTTAATTACCAAAGCAAATTACTCCGTACACTGCAAACAACTCGATGTGCTCTGTGGTAGGAAATTACGGATTTCACAAACAGCATCCACACACTTGTACAATGAATTCATTGAGAAGCATCACAATCCGATATCAAACAATCGGGTGAAGTCAACACGAGTTGAAACTAAGATGAACAACAAAGGGGGCACAATAATAAAAGTAGTAACGATAGTGCGAATACAGTTTAGAAAAACAATGACAGGGTGTTCAGCAAGAAATCCTGAAAATCAAGATCTAATGGGAAATAACGAATGAATCCGTCTGTACCATTATCAGTTGTGATATACAACGTCCCAACTTGACGTTGCAAAATCAGATGATACATGACTCGACTAGTAGCTACGGATCCTTGATTCTGATTTCGTGTGTACTCACTGATTCATCTGGAACATACATGCTAAAAGTCAGTCAGCGACCAAGTTACGTTCACACATTAACTTATATATAAATACACGTATTCATTCACAACTGGATTTCCAATAACAAACAGCTAACCCTACTGTAAGACCGACATCTGCGCCAATTTATTTTTGTCACAGTGACTAATGTGTTAAGCGGCGACTATTGCTGAGACCGGTAGAGTAATGATAAACACCAGTAAAAAAAAACCAGAACACCCTAATAATAGTTCGGTACATACCTTCTCTGAATTGCCAGAATAACCAATACCAGTATGACAAGTGTCTTCGCATTTGCTGTTCCACTGATTGTGATTGAAATCGTCACCGAAAAATACGTCAGATGAAGAGCACATTGTCACTGTGTCAAAACGCCGAGAGAGCTGCCTTAGTTACGAGCCCGAAACAACCGCGCTGGAAATGCCAGTGCCCAATGTAGTTAGTAAAAACAAATGTTTTGAGACATATGTTGTCTTTGTGCTTTCGAAACGACGATCTATCATCAGTGTACGCGGGAATAATTTTTCGGAATGGGCTGCTAACTTTTTGAACATTGCACACTGTTTAAAAAGGGCAGTGGTATTTTCCCTCTGAGTATATTTTATAGTATTGACCGCTTAATCGGACATCGAGACTACTGTTGTTGCTTTGACTGAATTTATTTCAGTTAAAGTAAGAAAATAGGTTAGTGCTATTGTTTTCCTCGTTGTGTATATCTTTGTATGTTGTTTGTATCCAAAGGTGTTAAGGTCTTTTCGTAACTACTGAAGTCGGGTGTTTTATTGTTGTTACGTACAGTAATATGCAAACCTCTGTTTTTGTTTGTGTTCAGTGTCCATCACCTGTCAAGCCTTAAAAAAGACACTTTTTCTAGAGATCAGTTCTCGCTGTTGTTCTTCCTGTGAGATCACGAAACAAATTTATGGTGCAGGTTAAACATCGTTGTGGCAGACCTGCATGCCACTTCCCTGTCGATGATGGAGTGCAATGTGACAACTGCAATAAGTGGCATCAAAATGTGTGCACCGAACTCACACCGGCTGCATATAGGAGCGAGTCGCGTATACAGCCTCTGCCAGGGAAGTCCTACTCACTGCCTTCTCGTGGCGGCGGTGTTGTTTACGAAAATGAGAGGACGAAAAGCGAACGTCCGGCGCTATAACCGCATCCCAATTCAATGGTGCACATGGGCTCCAGTATCCTGCGGGAACAAATGGCGCATGAACCAATCGTTGGTCACCGGCTACCATGGGACTGCATCGCCTCAAGATGCTCCACCGCCTTGTGGACTAGACCTTTAGGTCAAAGGCTCGGGGTGTGGCCCCCTAAGAAAACCACCTGCTTCGGTTTGGGCACCCGGGCAGTATCTCAGCCCACGCACTAAAATCATGATGAACTATTTGCTTATGGAAAATATTCCCTTCTCTCTGATTAACATTGAAATGACTCGTACTATTATTATTATTATTATTATTATTATTTTACCACGTCATTTATTCACCCTCTCTTATACCTACTTTTTGTATCCGTTTTGACCTAGACAGCAGCTCGCCTATGGTGAAAATTCAGCTTTATCTAAACGTTCTCGAGTCACTGCCTGGTTGAAAATTGTATGTTACCACCGAATATGAGTACTGAAGCAGTTTTTCTGAAACCACGTGCACCATTCAAACTGGCTGCCTTCAACGTTCGCACGTTTATGAAGGTCGGACAACAGATAGGGCTGGCTATGTCTTTGGAAAGTCTTAATATTGATGTGTGTTGTCTATCCGAGACCCGTATTCAAGACTCTGGTGAAGTACTTCAAGTTCGCTCTCCATCTGTCACTTCAAAAAGCTTGTTTTATGTGCGTTTATCCGGGAACCCTGTGGCATCTTCGTCTGGCCTTGCTGGCGTTGGTGTCGCACTAAGCGCTAGAGCTGAGGCAGCACTAGTCGACTGGATCTCCATTAACAGTCGGTTATTTGCTGTTAGATTAGTAAGTTCCATCAAAGTGAGAAGAAATCGGCGTGAGAAACGATGTCTTTTCGTCATCTCCGCCTATGCCCCGACAGATTGCAGCCCGGATGCAATCAAGGATGAGTTCTACCACCAGTTAACTGTTCTTCTCCAGAAAGTGCGCTCGACAGATATTGTAGTACTAGCCGGAGACTTGAATGCTCAGGTCGGGCGTCTAGGCACAGAAGAGAGTCGTTTAGGTGGCCGACGGGGACTTGTTGGTCGCAGGACAGATAACGGGGAACGTCTACTGCAACTATGCACAGACCACAACCTGTTTCTGGCTAGCACTAACTTTCGGCACAGTCATCGCCGATGTGCCACCTGGCGTCCTCCTTCTGCATCTCAAGCCTGGACTCAGATTGATCACATCGCGATCAGCTACCGCTGGCGTGGTTGTGTACAAGACTGCCGCTCCTTTTGGAGTACCTATCTGGAATCTGATCATGCTCTGGTCTGCGCCAATCTTACCTTAATTTTCAGTGGACAACGAAGTGACCACCACCAAAGGATTGATGTTAGCAAGCTGGCTGCAACTTCTGTTGCTAGTAAGTACCGAACCGAGCTAGCTTCTAGGCTAGCTAGCATTCCACCGAAAAGTATAGATGAGCATTGGTTGCAATTGCATGACGCCATGAAAATGGCGGGTACAGTCTGTTGTGGGTTCGCGAAACGTCCCGCTTATAAGAACTGGGTTTCCTCTGGTTCCTTACAACTCATTGAAGCCCGTTGGTCTACTCCGGGTGACCGTGAGTTTGACCACAGACGAAGGATGTTACGCAATGAAATCGGGCAAAGCTTGCGTAAGGACCGTGAAGCCTGGTGGTCGGAGCGTGCTAATGAGCTGGAAGCAGCAGCTGCATCTGGTAATTACCGGAAGCTCTTCCAACTCATCCGAGCCACTGGCAGCAAGAAGTTTGGTGTGAGTGAAACAATCTGCGAGGTTGACGGAACGCCAATCACTAACATCCATCGACGTCTTGGACGATGGGCAGAATTTTTCGAAGGGCAGTTCAACTAGCCTGCTGCTCCGGCAACATCGGTCAGACTGTTCTGCCCTCCATGGCCGGTGACGATTGGTCCATCAGATGAGGCGGAAGTCCGCAAGGAACTCCAACTCTTGAAACGTTACAAATCACCGGGTCCAGACGACTTACCTCCGGTTCTTTTTAAACATGGTGGTGACTTTCTGACTAAGGGACTGACGACGTTGTTTACAAAGGTCTGGGAACTAGAGTGTGTACCAACGTCATGGAATGAATCGATAATTGTCCCTATCTTTAAAAAGGGTTCACGTCGTTTCTAT